ACTAAAATGAAAGGCTCGTCCCATCAGATTCCCGTAATAATACGCCTTCTTTATACTCCCATTCCATTGCACCTGATACATCCAATATAATATTACCAACTTTGAAGAAAATATTTTTAGCAGTTGTTTGAAAATTGACAACCAAACTAGACCCACCCCCCTTTCTTCCCTCTCTCTGTTACTTCAAGCAAATTCTTAACCCCCCATTTGTCTATCAGTCTCGATTCTTCTTTCTGTTTGCAAGACAAGAATCACCAAGATTTCAAAATTTTTTTCCTCATTTCTTAGCTGTTTTTGAAAGAACCCCAGTATCTAGAACATATTAGTAATATCAACTAACTCAAATAATGACATTCTAACTATTGATTCTTCCAACCCATTAATAAAAGAAAAGTTCCAAACTTTCTTCTGTCAATAGGGCATACCCATTAAAGTTATGTTCTTTTTCTTGTTTTGAGTCTATTTAGACTTATTACTTTAATTACAGATTTGATTCCTGAAAAGGGAGACAAGACAACAGAAAATGAGGAATTGGACTTGGGGCTTTGTTGGTCTTCTTTATCTTGCTCTGTTGTTGAAGATTGAAGCCTTGAAATTTCATAGGACTGAACAAACTGAGAGAATATCAGGTACATTTTCTTTTGGCTCCAAAATTTTATGTTTTAGCTTGGAATTATATGTAATCTCATGTGTTACTGAGATGCGAATACTTGTTCATCATAGTAACTTAGGTTTTACTGATTTGGCTTTAGTTTCTGCATAAGGCTTCTGGTTTTAGGCTGCAACATTATTGATTTCTTCAGCTGGCTTCATTCATGAATTCTTAGTTCTGTAGGGACATAGTAGTCTTTAACCTGTAAGATCATTTCTATGTGGAATAGCATTCTTGATCGTGTTGTTTGTTTCTTTTGGTTAACTTGTAAATATATGTTGAATGAAATAGTCTGGTAATGGTTGGTGTTGCTAACTGCCTAAGTAATGGCATTATCTGTAGTTTTTGGCCTCCAAAGCTAAGTCTCCTTCTTTGATGATGTTCATACTGTTAATAAGATTCAGAATCTGTAGGTGATAAAACAATATACTGTTATTAAATCCTGACTGTGATACATGTCGATTTTGCAAGTCTGTCTCATACAAAACATGGGGTTTAATTAGCTAGAATGTAGGATAAGATGAGGTAGAGATGAATGGGCATCGTTAGCTGAATTATTTACCTATCTGCATGTTAGTCTGAGTAATTCTTGATGCTGGAGCATCCGTGATTGATACTTAGAAGTTTAAATCCAGATCTAAGTTAAAATTAATGAAAATCAGCTTTCACCTTAGAGCTAAGCCTGAATACAGATAAATGAGGTATTTTTTCTTACAAGTTCACCTGTCAAAGTGTGGTAGTAATCTAGAAAAATTATTGGCATATTATTCTATTGTACATGTATATTTTTTGCCACTTGATTTTGACTATAGTGGGAGAATTCTGTAGAGGCACATTAAATGCATAACTGTATAGCCCCTTATTTTCAGACTATAGACATTGAGCTCTCACACGAGCTTCATTATTGAATTTGTATCAGATATCTGAGTTCATATTAGACCGGTATCTCAAAAAACTTAAATATGTAGACAATTGACTCATAGCACGTTGTACAATTGAATATAGCAAAGGGAAGATGGCAATTTGCTTCATGAGATCTAGGTAGAGAGAAGTTATTTCATAGGTACTAGCTATAATGGTCTTCTGCATTTGGACTTTTAAGCTACATGAAGAACTTGATTGAAGACTTTGGTAGGCCATAGTTTAGATGTTTCGAGGATTCTCAAAAATTTCCAAGGGATGTTTTCAGACGCCCATTAGAACAGATTGGTTTTTCATACATGTAGTTTAGGTGGAATTCACATATATATATTTTTTTGATAAAGGAGTGGAAATTCAGATAGAAATGAAAGTTGCAGCATCAGAGATAATTTCTTGGTGAATAATTTTGATGTCATAGGTGACACCATAGAACTATTGTTGTGATCACAAAGGAGCATCTTTTTACCTTACCTTAAAAAAGAAAAAGGAAAAGGAAAAGAACATATTTTTATCCAACTGAATAAGTTAACTTTAATACAAAATACTAATCAAATTAACTATCATCTTTTAACTTGTTTATAAATAGTTTAGCCTATGATGGACTTGCTTTTAAATCTTAAGTATTAACTCCTATATTTTCCTTCTATTTCAAAAATTTAGGAAGTGCTGGTGATGTCTTGGAAGATGATCCAGTTGGGAGATTAAAAGTTTTTGTATATGAGCTTCCCAGCAAATACAACAAGAAAATTCTGCAGAAAGACCAACGATGCCTCAACCACATGTTTGCTGCTGAAATCTATATGCATCGTTTCCTATTATCTAGCGCTGTTCGAACCTTTAATCCTGAGGAAGCAGATTGGTTCTATACCCCTGTTTACACCACTTGTGACCTGACACCGAATGGCCTTCCCTTACCGTTTAAGTCACCACGTATGATGAGGAGTGCAATACAACTTATTGCTTCTAATTGGCCGTACTGGAATAGGACAGAGGGAGCTGATCATTTCTTCATCACACCCCACGATTTTGGTGCTTGTTTTCACTATCAAGTGAGTCTCTCTCTCTCTCTCAAACACACACATCCACAGAATTAGATAGACTCCAGGGAAAGGTTGCTAATAAATATCCCTTAGGTTCGTGATTATTGATTTTTGTTATTTTCAACTGTAACTTTCAGTCATTACTTTCAAGGTCAGATAGGTTTTGGTTACACTGGGTTGTTCTGTGCGATTGCAGGAAGAAAAAGCTATTGAGAGGGGAATTCTTCCATTGCTTCAACGTGCTACCTTGGTTCAAACTTTTGGACAACGAAATCATGTTTGTTTGAAGGATGGCTCAATTACAATTCCTCCATATGCTCCCCCGCAAAAAATGCAGTCCCACTTGATCCCTCCAGATACTCCCCGATCTATCTTTGTTTATTTCCGAGGCTTGTTTTATGACGTCGGAAATGACCCAGAAGGTGGTTACTATGCAAGGTATGATAACCAAGGCTCATACCTATGAATAAATCACATTTGGTCAAGTTTCTTTAACACTTAAATATATTGAACATAGCTACTTACCGAAAGCCCTACTATTCTTCACCAAGTCGATTTATATGTGAAGTTAAGTACAGAGTTATCAGGATCTAGAATTAATGCATAGTTGATTGATTTATTTAATTGTTATTCTGAGATTATACTGTTTCTCTTTTCTCTGAAAATTTGGATGAATATTGTTTAAATAAATGTTAGATGAAATCACAACTACTGTAGAAGTTGGCTGAAAAGAGAGTAACTAACGCTGATTATTTATTTCTTCAGAGGTGCCCGAGCAGCAGTGTGGGAGAACTTTAAAGACAATCCTCTCTTTGATATTTCAACAGAGCATCCAACCACTTACTATGAAGACATGCAGCGAGCTATCTTTTGCTTGTGCCCGCTGGGGTGGGCACCATGGAGTCCGAGATTGGTTGAAGCAGTTATATTTGGCTGCATACCTGTTATTATAGCAGATGACATTGTCTTGCCATTTGCTGATGCCATCCCCTGGGAAGATATTGGCGTGTTTGTAGCAGAGAAAGATGTTCCGAATTTGGACACCATTCTCACTTCTATTCCACCAGAAGAAATATTGAGGAAGCAGAGATTGCTTGCCAATCCTTCAATGAAGCAGGCAATGTTATTTCCACAACCTGCTCAATCAGGTGATGCTTTTCATCAGATTTTGAATGGACTTGCACGTAAACTGCCTCACGACAAGAGCACTTACTTGAAGCCCGGAGAGAAGTTCTTAAACTGGACTGCTGGTCCAGTTGGCGACCTAAAACCTTGGTAGAGGATGGTTCTGAAGATATCATTTCTTTCACTTCGTCGTCCTGGCTCCAAACCTTTCTTCTATACCAAAGTTGCTGAATTTCATCTGAAGCGTAAATTTTTACCACGTAGTTTGGGAGACGACACATTCATTTTGGACCCATAGTGTTTGTTGTAGTTATGCATGAGTCTTATGAAAAATAGGTATGTACTGATTTCTACTCTCATACTCGTGCCAGAAACTTATTGCCTTTTTTGTTACTTATAGATGTTGAGCCATTAAGCATTCTTGGAAAAGTGGCTTTTCCTGTTGCATTCACTACTTATTGGGGAGTCCCTGCCCTGGGTGCCCGCCCAGGTTGGGGAATAAAGATAGAGTTGTCCTGGAATTTTGGGAAATGATATTTTCATAATGTACTATCAGAAATTAGAGTGTTCATCAGCTTATCATACTGCATACACTGCAATAATGATTTTGCTGAAGAAACTCCCAAGCTTGTGAGCTAGTTGTTGCTTTTGGTATACATCAATTCCGGTAAGTACTTTTTGATCTTTTTATTTTGGTTCAAAATAAGTAATCTTCTAACATAATCAAGAAGAAATTAACTTTTTTTTTCAAATTTGTCATTTTCTTTTTACATATCCTAATGTGTCAAATTAACAATATATAAATTTTAATTAATGATAATTTAATCAAAACACCTTTTTTTTTCTTCTAGGAGTTATATTTTTTTAAAAGGTGTGCCAAAGGTCAAAAATGACATACGGACAGGAAGAAGTAATAAAGATCCATAATCATTGATACGGTGAATTATGTTCTTATATTGGTAAATAATGACATCACATCCCACGTGGCCTGTGAATAATCCAATTTCTCTGAGTGCAAATTCCAATCATCTTCGGCAAACACCAATTCTTAAAACTGAACCCTCGAACATCTACAAAAAACTACTCTTCAACTTAAAAACTCACCAACTTCAAATCAAAAATTGTCCAAACGCTTACTAGGTGGCATTTGGTTTTCCAAAATAATTTTGCAAAAACGTTTTTCCAATTTTTGCATACTATTTCACATAATTCAGCTCTGAGCCAACGATCGATCAACTCCTACACCATTCTTAGACCAAGAATAGAAAATTCTCATGAGCAAACCAATAAAGTAATAGTAGATTCTAAACATAATGATAATTGAGTTCAATGATTTACATTGTTATGTATGGACATGTGAATATAAAACAAGAAATCACTCCTGGAGGACAAACGAACCCTCTATTCTTTTCCCCAGAGGTTGTGAAGCAAAACTCAAAGGATTAAATGCATCGTCGAAACTTGAAGCAGGAGCGGGCTTGAATTCATAAGGACCTCCTTTTACACCCCAAACCTGTAATATTGGACAAAAAATACATGTCTTGTCAGAGGCTGTCGGTTCCTCAAACAAATCAATGAATAATTGAGACACGAATCACTAGGAGGCTTTTAAGGAAAAGGCAAGTTTGAAGCATATGGAACTAACTTGATTGCCATCAACATCATAGCCTCTATCCCAGGCATGTATCTCATTGTTCTTTAACACAGCTAGTTCGGAGGTACAGCGCGTTGCACCATTCTGCTACACAGGCAAAATAGACTTGCAGTACTTAATAGGAAAGGAGAAAACATCACAGGGTATCATGACGCGAATCTCGCCAGTAAAACTGATGAAAACTTAAGCAAATACCCATGAATTAGGAAATCCATCTGCAGGTGTTGAACCTTCATATAAGCATCGTTTCCCACGTTCACAGCGCTTTAGATGAATGGTAGTCAAATGTTCAGCAATATCCTGTGCATGACAATAGAATTAAAATGACTTCCCAGCAGAAACAGTAAGTTCCAAACATTTTTCAGTAGCATAACAATCAAACTAGGAATATATTAAACAGTTTGTCATGGTTGGCTTGGTTATTTTAAGCAGCAGAGACATGGAATGAGGGAGAACATATGTATAAAGTTACAGACCTGAGCCTATATTCAAAAGTAAAGCATACGGGAAAAAAAGAGATCCGATCTTAATGTGTTCAAATGTTTACCCCAATAACTTCTTCAGGTTCCGGACGTTGGTCCCTAGGGCGATCGCAGAAGTTCTTGTACTCCTCTGCATCTCTGATGGCATATGTGCTTACCTAGAATTTGGCACAGGTGCAATGAAAACTTATTTGCGACGAAGAATGAAAATAAGGCTGCAAGGCTTGGTTTCTATCACCAACAATTAAAAAAAACATATCACCAACAATTAAAAGTAAGGATACTGAGAGTAGAGATGTTAAAGGAACTAGAATTTATTAGCATGAATACTAGACAAAAGGTATATCATTCCCACTACCATCAGCACAAGTATTTTCCTAAACAACCAGCAGACTACCTTCATGCTACTTTTAAAGACACCCAAACATCCTCTCACCCAAACCCATCATAGAGTTGAAACGAGTAATAATTCATGAGAACAGGCTTGTAAGGGAAGTAGAACTGTGTCCAATGACATTATTATACATAATGCAACAAGAAATGGTGATGGTTCTACATTAATTAGTACTAGATTACTAGTAAGTGGTATGCCACTCGTGCCAAACAAAAAGTGTGAAGAGGCTTAGCAAGGGCAGTAGAATATTAGAATTTAGAGAAACTTCAGGCCACAGAAAATATGAATTGGGACCAACCTCAACATCACATTTCAGCTCCTTTGCACAAGGCTTGACCATGAAAAACCTCTGCAACAGAATGTTATATTAGAATTGATTGAGCTCGAGTGCTCTTAACTATAAGAGCAACTAAAATAAAATAGCTACTGTGATGTCATCTTATATGATTATCTGGGTTTCAGCAACCAAAGCAACAGAACAAAGAACTTAAATTAAGGTAGCAGGTCTATAATGCAACAGTCTTGATTATAACAAGAACAAAAAGAAAATAATATTGGATGTTACTCACCTGTCGGAAGGGTTTATGGGGTGTCCGCCAAAATGCCTACAACACAAAAGAAGATCCATCATAAAACCGACTTTCATGGGTCCAACCAGAAGCATGGAGGAAGAAACTAAAGCAAGATATAGACGTACCTGTTCAAAATATAAAACTTTAGAGCCATCTACCATGTCGGCAGCAGGACAGGAAAGCCATCTATACATAGAAAACATGAAAGTTGAATAAAAGGTTTAAATAACAGAACTTCCCCCAATTTTTTTACTACATCAAGAGATGATCATATGCTTCCAGAAGCAAGACTTCTGGAGAGAAACATGCTTACATGCCCGTCGCAGTCATTGGAAGATTGCTATCCAAATTATTGAAAGGTACGCATCCTAAAGATAGTAACTTCGCAGGCCAATCAAGCAACGACATACAAAGTGGACAAGATTTTATCAATCTGCTAAGCCTCAATTCAGACTATCTCGGGCTAATTTCGTCTCCAGAAATTCAAGTTAAAAAGGTTCAATACATATTACAGTTTTTAGCTAAACCTTCTCCCTGATAAAGTTTGGCAGTAATATTTCAACGCAAATCCAAAATCAAAACTGAAATAGTGAAAATTATAAGCGAAAAACATAATACCTGAAATTAAAATAATTATCAGGATCCCTAACAGCTTGCTCCTTGGAAAACTACAATAAAACTCGAAAAAATCAGTTATTCTCACTTTCTTCACTCTCACTTTCTTCACAGTTCCAGAGGAGCAAAAGTAGCAGAAATAGAAAAACAGTAGCGTAGCAAAAAAAATAGTACCTTTTCACCGCTAAGTGACTGTGCGACAATTCGAGCATGGTCCCAACGTGTGGTCGACTTAGTGAGCCGCCGTACCAATAAAGCGCCTCCGATAAGCACCAGCGACTTGAGAACCGCTCCACGAGCTCGGCTCCACCCGTTTGAGTTCGGATCCGACTTTGAGTCCGAAACCGACTCCGAGCCCGGGCACATACTCGTCTTTAACACTTTACAGTGGACTCTCTAATAGCAGATGATTTGACCTATAAATCATCCTCGAATTTTACAAACTTGAATTGAATTCAAATGCTTCAGCTTCTTTTTCTTCTCAAATTTCTGCAAAATTACAAACTTCAGAAAATGGGGAAATTTTTGAAGTATTTTTTATTGGCGTAGAAGCATTGGCGAAAGTAGTCTCATGCCGTCCTCTCAATCCCCACCACTTGTTTTTTCAAGTCCGACCACATTATTGGACATATAGTAGAATCTTCTACTGGGCTCAAGCCCACTATTATCCCAATCTCAATGTCAGCTATAAGGCCCACTTGCATCAATCTCCAACGTTTTTATATCTTTTCTAATTCTTCTCTCTTGAAAAAGAAAAAGATTTAGCTAAAGGTGTAAAAAAGGTAATTAAGTAATAATTGATTGATATAATAAGAAAGATAACGGTTTTCCTTTTTTTCCCTTTAGTGATATAAAACTTTGATAACATTGTGTATACGGGTAACAATCGGGGATAGAGCATATCCCGATTTTCCGGTGAAGAAAACGGAAGGGCATGGACACACGAGACAGAAAATCGAGGCCGGGGACCTTTCGCATCAAGACCCACGAAAGAAGAACAATATGTTCATCATCGGGCATGATAAAGCAACGCTCCCCGGACCCAGAACGAGTTCTAAAACCTCGAAAAACACGGAAAACGGTTATACACAATGGATAAAGGGCCGTCATATTCATACCTGACCGGATATCACGGTGCGAGTCTCGCTCGATGTCGGTTACAGATCGGTAATTAATAAGAAAGAAAGATTTTTACCCTTTTTAGACTTGTATTAGGGATTAAATTCTCCTACTATATAATGGGGACGTGTTTTCTTTTGAGGGACACATCGTAACATGCAAATCAAGGCAATACAAATTCATTTTTCTGTTTTCTAGCTATTGCAAAAATTCTTATTTAACTGTTTGTTCTTCATCCGATTTGGGTTCGAACAAAGGGTCTGATCGGGGGCGAAACTACTGTTCAACCTAGGTTCGGGCTAGGCCGTAACATTACAATTGGTTTGATCATTCATTTGGTCTTTAACTCGTTTATCTAATATTCTTGATTATTTGTAATAAATCAATCTACATATCCTTAAAACCGTGTACAAATTTAATTATTATCCGATTTAAGGGTAAATAGTTTAGCGCCCACCGTGGGGCTAAGGATAATAGTGGTGATTTGATACAAATCTCCATAACACACTCTATTTTACGCTTGTTCTTTAAAGTCTCAATTTCATGTCAGTTTAAAAATGTTAAATTCTCAGTCTGCCCACTTGAACGTTGACGTTGAGTCTGGCCATCATGGCGAAAACAATAACCTGGTGCCTAGCAACGAGGTGCCTCCTGCTGATCCCAACGGAGTCCCAGTTGCCGATCCGGTCGATACTAACTCATAGGTGGCCATCGACGCCAGTCTACCAACTGATCCTGAAAACAGCGCTCGCGGAAGACCCTGGCCAACAACTCGAGAAGCGCCCGAAAGTGAAGGCGATGGGGGTTAGCCTACGGTTAATCTTCAAAATGTTGCAGGCTTAACAGGCGACGATAGCGCAACTACAGAACCAAAGCCACGCCCCCAGCAGGGTTGAGCCCAAACAATCCCAGGAAAACATCCGAAGGAACGAACAGATCACTGAGAAACAGGGTTAAGTTGAGCCCGGGGTCAATCCCAAAAAAATAAAGATGCTTGAAGCATTAACAAAGTGGGTAGAGTCAGGCGAGAAGAAAATTGAGGCCAATAACAAGAAGGTGGAAATATATAATTTCAGGGTCAATCAAATCCCGAGAGCACCCCCTGATATTGAAAGGGTCAGATTCTAAGAAATTTATCCATAAGTCTTTTCCTCCCAGCGCAGCACCAAAGCTGATCCCAAAGAGGTTTCGTATGCCCGATATCCCAAAATATAACGGAACCACAGATCCGAATGAGCATGTGACCTCCTATGCATGTGCAATCAAAGAAAATGACTTGAAAGATGATGAAATCGAGTCGGTATTACTGAAGAAGTTTGTGGAGACTTTGTCCAAAGGAGAAATGATATGGTATCACAACTTACCCTCAAATTCCATTGACTCATTTGTTATGCTTGCATATGCTTTCGTGAAGGCCCATGCCGGGGCCTTCAAGGTCGCGACCAGAATATCAGACATTTTCATAGTTAAACAAAGAGACAACGAAATGCTCGGGGAGTTCGTTTCAATGTTCCAGATGGAACAGATAGACCTGCCTCCAGTTACAGATGATTGGGCCATTCAGGACTTCACTCAGGGGATTAAACTTCGAAGCTCCTTGGCTTCACAGTAGCTAAAACAAAATTTGGTAGAGTACCCAGTGGTGACTTAGGTCGACGTCCACAACAGGTACCGGTCGAAGATCATGGTCGAGGACGACCAACTTGGAGCCCCTTCTGGGTTTGTTTATCCCATCAGGGCCGATGACATGCCTAAGTGAGTCGTTGATCATGAGTCAAGGCCGGTCAGGGATCGATACCAACCATAAAATACGGATTGAAGGGGAAATGGGTCCGGGCATAACCCCACGAGGAATGAAAAGAGAGGCGATCTAGGGACCAGTAGCCGAGGTCTGATGAGTAAAAATGGTTTCGACAGGCTGCACGGGAGCAGAGAAGCACCTTATCAGAGTATAACTTCAATGTTAATACTTCCAACATCGTGTCAGCCATCGGGCACATCAAAGAGGCCAAGTGGCCCCGACCATTACAGTCTGACCCTTCCCAAGAGATCCTAACTTAATATATAAGTATCACAGAACTCATGATCACAGGACCAGGATTGCCGACAGCTAAGAGAAGAAGTTGCCCGGTTATTCAACAACGGGTACCTCCGAGAGTTTCTGAGTGATCGGGCTAAAAACCACTTTAGGAATAGGGACGCCAACAAACATGTAGAATAAGAAGAGCGTCAGCACGTCATCAACATGATCATCAGAGGGGTCGATGTCCCCCAAGGACCAATGATAAAGCGCACTAAAGTGTCTATCATGAGGGGAAAATGTACCCGAGATTATGTCCCGAAGGGAACCATTTCGTTCAGTGACGAGGATGCCGAGGACATCATGCAACCTCACAATGACGCGCTAGTAATATCCGTACTTGTCAATAAATCTCGAGTTAAACGTGTGTTTATTGATCTAGGTAGCTCGACCAATATCATCAGATCAAGGGTCGTAGAGTAATTGGGGTTACAGGACCAAATAATGCCAGCAGCTCGGGTGTTTAACGAATTTAACATGGCATGCGAAACCACTAAAGGGGAGATAACCCTGCCAGTGAATACCATCAGGACGATCTAAGAGACAAAGTTCTATGTGATCGAAGGGAACATGAGGTATAACGCTCTACTCGAAAGGCCGTGGGTTCACAACATGAGGGCGGTACCCTCGACCTTGCACCAGTCATTAAAATTTCCTACACCTGGCGGAGTCAAGATCGTCTAAGGAGAGCAACCGACTGCAAAGGACATGTTCACAGTCGACAAGGTAATCTCGGTGCTTGCAGTTTCGGCATCAAGGAACGCGAAGCCGACCATAAAGGAAGAAATTAAATAACAATAACTTATGTCGGTCTCGGTCGAACTGGAGGAATGAGGAATAGACGAGGAGGATGATTATGGAGTCCTGAGATCGTTCATAACTCCCGATGACACTGACGCCACCAAATCAATGATCGAAGAGTTAGAGCAAGTCATATTAATCGAACACCTGTCGGATCGAAAGATATACTTGAGCACTGGGTTAACCCCCGAGATCAAGAAAAAACTCATTGATTTTCTTAAAGCTAACATAGATTATTTTGCTTGGTCCCATCTTTACATGACAGGGATTCCACCGGAGGTAGCCACTCATAAGCTGAGTTTGGACCCAAAGTTCTGTCCGGTTAAGTAGAAGAGGAGACAACAGTCTGAGGTCAAGCATGCGTTCATCAAGGACGAGGTATCCAAACTCCTTAAAATAGGGTCCATCCGGAAAGTTAAATACCCGAACTGCTTAGCTAACGTAGTGGTAGTGCCTAAAAGGGGAATAAGCTAAGAATGTGTGTAGATTACAAAGATATAAACAAGTCATGCCCTAAGGATTCTTTCCCTTCGCCTAATATCGATCAGATGATCAAAGGTCGGGCACGAGATACCATGCTTTCTTGATGCCTATTCCGGGTACAACCAAATTCGAATGGACCGGACGATCAAGAAAAGACTTCTTTCATCACTAAATTTGGCACCTACTATTATAATGTAATATTGTTTGGGTTAAATAAAGTCGGTTCCACCTATCAACGCCTAGTAAACCAGATGTTCGAAGAAAAAATAGAAAAATCAATGTAAGTTTATATTGACGATATGTCAGTCAAGTCCTTGCAAGAAGAGAACCATTTGAAACATTTGCAGGAGACCTTCGACATACTAAAGAAGTATAATATGAAGCTAAACCTAGAGAAATGCTTATTCGGGGTCGGATCAGAAAAATTCCTCGGGTTCATGGTATCTAATCGAGGGATTAAGATCAACCCCGACAAAATCAAAGCCATAGAGGACATCACCGTGATGGACAACGTCAAGGCCATTCAAAGAATGATCGGGCGTATAACCGCCATGGGCCGGTTCATATCGAGGTCCTCGGACAAAAGCCATCGATTCTTCTCATTGTTGAAGAAGAAGAAGAATAACTTTTTCTTGGACCCCAGAATGCCAGCAAGCTTTAGAAGAACTCAAACGGTACCTATCGAGTCCGCCTCTGCTGCACACTCCAAAGGCAGACGAACAACTATACCTCTACTTGGCAGTTTTCGAGGTGGCGGTAAGTGGAGTTTTAGTCCTGGAGGAAGAAGGTACGCAATTTCCTATTTACTATGTCAGTAGAACTCTAGGCGAGGCCGAAACGAGGTATCCTCACCTAGACAAATTGGCGCTCGCTTTGCTAAGCGCCTCCAAAAAGCTAAAGTCGTACTTTCAATGCCACCCCATATGTGTCGTGACCTCTTACCCGCTGAAGAACATCATGCACAAACCCGAGCTCTCGGGCTGGTTGTCCAAATGGGCCATCAAAATTAGTGGGTACGATATTGAGTATTGACCCTAAACCGCCATAAAATCTCAGATTTTGGCAGATTTGGTGGCCAACTTTACGCCGGCCTTAATACCCAAAGTCGAAAGAGAAT